TTCTCCCCCTCCCCCTCTTCTCCTTCTCCTCCTCCTCCTCCCCCCCAGTGGTTTATCACCCAGAAATCCCTTCTGAGAAGCAAACAAAACCACCTACAGTGTAGTCAACATTGTCCAGTGCGGATGGGGTAGTAAAAAATGTTATGCGTATAAAAAAGGGGCATGAATGTCCCACCTTGCAGGATGACCCTGAGTGAACTGTTTCCTGGCTGAGTTCACAAAACAACATGCCCTAGTTTCAAAGCGGGATGGATAGTTTGTCGTTTACAGTGTTACTGGGACCAAACCCATGGCACCACATATTGTGTGAACCAGGCCATCACATTAAATTGTCATATGGTTTCTTTGTTTAGGTAGAGCCTGCTTTGTGAACATCATAACTGTATTTTGTTATCCCTGGATTACAGACAAAACTGTTATGCGAATGTGGTCTTTTAGTACGCTGAAGTCCTGTGAAGTAATTGATCAATTAAGCAATTGAATGATTCATAATAGTAATAATAATATTTGCCAATTCGCATCCCACCTTTCCTCTTGGAGAGCACTCAAAAGAGCTATAATGAATCAACCCAAACTCTTATAATGAGATACAGATATAGGACTCTTAATATATTCTCTGCTTCAAGAGCAAATGCTCTGCACAGATGTCAGATCTGGACCCAAATCTTCCTACGAAAGCTTCAGCTCCCAAATCCTGTTCTGGGTTAAAACTGGGGTGGGGAGGGGCGGGGACGGAAATTATGCCTAGCATTAGAATGTTATCTCTGGTCATTTCTTAGCTATTTCTCTGGCAGCCCCAAGGGGGTCTCAGGTCCAAAGGGACCAGCGTGGCCCCCATTTCCCATCCAGTTCTCGACTGAATTTGCCTGGGCCTTGTGAATCTGTGGGCTACCACAGCCATTTCCTGTTTAAAGTGTGGAACGGTAACTGTGGTTGACATCAGCTTCTCGGGGATGTGGATTGCGACATAATTCTGACATTTTCATAGCCAAAGGCAGTTCAGCTGGCGCATAACTATTTATTTATTTATTTATGTATTTATTTAAATTTCTATAGCCGCCCCTCTCAAGTGACCTCTGGGTGGCGAACAATCATAAAAATAACACAAGTACAATACAATACAGGAATATATATATATATCAGCCGAGAAAAATTATCCCATAATTATCAATATAAATTGGGAATATCTAAGATCTCAAGAAATGGGGCCCCTCACGCATTTGGGGCCCCAGGCCCAGGCACATAATCAGGTCTTTGGGACCTTATGAAATGCCACAGGATGATTAATTTATCCATTAATAACCTTCCATTCCTCCAGCAAGCTAGCCAGAGCTGAGCCTACCTAATTTGAACAAGTGATTGAATTGCAATGCCTTGCCCTATTGTGGCATGCCAGTCCAACCTGGACAAGCAAGCTGTGGAGAACGGGGAGGATCAGGATGTCATGCACCATCCCCAGATTTGACACATTCGATAGAGTGTCAGAATAAACCATACGTGTGTCAGAACCATACATGGATACACCACATAGACTGGAGAACTTGCAAAAATCACAAACTCAAACAAAGAGTGGAGAATGCATCGGTCCCTCTGTCCATCCATCAAAGCTTCTTCTCACCGGGGTTAGTTAGAGGCTGCCAAGAGCATGGAATTCTGGGACCTGAAGTCCACACATCTTAAAGTTGCTGAGATTGAGAAAGAATTGATTTAGATCAGTGTTTCTCACCTTGGCACCTTTAAGATATGTGGACTTCAAGTCCCGTGGACCTTTAAGATATGTGGACTTCAAG